CCACTACCTTCTCCTCTCCTTCCACCTCCTGGCAGAGAATTCCCCCCATCCCTTGGTGCTCCATTCGGTGTAGAGCGTGAACGGCTGATCAGCGGTGGGCAGCTTGAGTACCGTTGCGGTCTTCACTGCAGCCATCAGGTCCTGCAGTGCCCCCTTCTGTGCTTCTCCCCACTCCCACGCCTTGTCCTCTCGCAACAGCCCATTCAACACCGCCGCTCTCTTGCTGATGTTGGGCACAAACCGCCTGTAGTAGCTCAAGAAGCCCAGCACTGCTCTCAGCCCTGACTTGTCATTCGGCTCCCTCAGTCTGTCCAGCACTTCCACCTTGGCCTGTTGGATCCCTATCTGTCCCCCTTTCACCTTATACCCCAGGTACTGCACTGTCTGTTCTCCCCATCTGCACTTATTCAGGTGGCAGGTGAGTCCTGCTGCTTCAATCGCCGCTAGGGTCTTCTCCACATCCTGTAGGTGCTGCTACTCTGTGGTGCTGAAGATTACCACATCGTCTATATAGCAGGCCGCGCACTCCACTCCCCGCAGCACGCTGTCCATGACCCTCTGGAACACTGCTGATGCGTTCCGCTGTCCAAATGGCATGTACAACCACTCGTACAGCCCATGAAAGGCCGTCTTTCTGATGTCCTCCTCTCTGATCATGATCTGGTTGAACCCCTGCCGCAGGTCCAGCGTAGTGAAGAACACCCCCTCTGCCAGTTTATCAAAGATCTCCTCCGCCATCGGCATCGGGTACCTGTCTGCTACGGTGATTTTGTTGAGTGCCCTGTAGTCTCCACACATCCTCCTGCTCAGCACCTCCTCTGTCAGGTCTCGCCTGGCTGCCGCCACTGTTGGTGTGGCGGACTCCGATCTCCTAATCAGTCCCGCTTCCAGCAGCTCCTTGATCTTCTCCTTGCAGATCTCCTCATCCCCGGGCGGCATCTTCCTCCTGCGCTGGAACACTGGTTCTGCGCTGCTCAGCTTCAGCTCCATCTCCTTCACCTTGCATCTCCCCAGTTCCTGCATGGTGAAAGCGAAACACTTCGGTGCCTCGCCAGCAGCCCCTGCATGGCCTCCCTTCCCCCCTTGCTCATCGCTTCCCCCACCACCCAGCTCTCCTCCTCCTTCGCTTGGCAGCTCCACGCTCCCCGTGGCTCCGCCTTCATCCCTCCTTTCCCTTCCTCCTGCCCCCAGCTCACGACCGTCTCCCGCCACATTCGCTGAATCAGCCACCTCGTCACGTGGCCATCCAATGCATTCGCCAGAGCCCTCCTCCTGTCCGCTTCACTTGCCCCAAGTGCTGCTGTTGCGTCTTCTCCGTACCCCATAGCCAGCTCCCGCTCTAGTGCCGTGGGCTCCTCCCATCTCCCTCTCTTGTGGTCATACACCATCCCCAGCCCAGGCTTCCCTACTTCCCACTTGTACCCTGCTGCCCCCACATACGCCACCAGCGTGGGCAGAGCCCGCCTCTCCTGCCCCACTTGGTTGCACTGCTCGTGCCTGCTATAGCTCTTGCGACTCACCGGTGCTGGGGTCCACCCTGGTGCCAGGATGTCCTGCACCTTCCTCTCTGCTGCTAGCCTCACCCCCTCTATCTTTGCTTGCAGCTGCGCGGCAGGGACCACATTCTGCCAGTACATTTTGAGCCTGTGCGCATAAGACCCCATTCTGGCCGCATCACAGCTCACCCCTTCTCCCAGCTGCCCCCTGATTCTGTCCCTCACCAGTCGGATTGGCTCTCTGCTATCTCCCTCTAGGTCCAGGTTTTCCAGCAAGTATGCCACCCTACCCTGCCTCTCCTGCAGCCACTCCATGATTCGGAACAGGTCCTCCAGCAACCCTGTCCTGTGATCTTCTCCTCCCTTGCCCTTGCCTGCCCAAGACACCCCTTGGCATTCCCACCCTGCCACCAGCAGATCCACCTGCCCCCAGCTCGCCACCTCCACCTCACTTATCTCCTTCACATCGTGGATCGTCCCCCCCATCGCCTTGCTGATCACTCCCTCACTCAGTAGTTTTGGAAATTCCGCTTGCAACTTCCTGGCATGGTGCTCCGCTATCCTCCTCACCCCTGGTTCCTTCTCCACATATGTCCATCTCTTCACTGCTATCCCATTCCTCACCACTGCGGACAGCCCTGCCCCTATCCCCCCAAACAGCTCCACCAGGTGTATGGGCTGCTACCAATCGCTCTTCTGCTGTGGCTTGTCCATCCCCTTCATTCTGGGCGCTCCTCCCATCCCTGACAGCCCCCCCTGCCCCCCCGGCAGCCGTTCCCCCACGGCCTGGTAAGCTCTCTTCGGCTCCACCTTCACAAATCGCACTGGCAGCTCTCCCAGCGGCCCCTCCCTTTTCCAGTATCTAGTCCTAAACTCGACCTTCTCCGTCCATGTGCATATTGTCATCACTACCGCATACACCAGCTCGGTGCCTACCAGCACGTCAAAGTCCTCCGACTCGGAAATCCCGCACTTCATGCGGATTTTGGTTTCGTGTCCCCCCCCCCGGCAACAGCGTCACCTCTATAGGCGTCCGTCTGCATGGCATCCACTTCGGCTCCCCTCCTTCTGCTGTCATCACCAGCATCCCCTTAGCCATGTGCCTCTCCGGCGCCAGCAATCCCAGCCTCTCAGCCATCCCTTTGCCCAACATCACGCTCTGTGCCCCCGTATCTATGATGGCTGTCTTGACCTTCTCTCCCTCCACTTCCATGGCTCCCTTCTCTAGCAGCAGCACCGAGGTCTGGCACGCCAGCCTCTCTTGGAGATGGCGTGTAGGGGCTGGCTCTGGGGCTGGCTCGGCTGGCTTCTCTCCCTTCACCTGTTCTTTCCTTCCCTGCTCCCGCCTGCCATCCTTGCCTTCGCTCCTCAGCCCCATCTCCTCCCTTCCTCTCCACGTTATGAGAGCACACTGCACATCCTGCTCCACCTCCTCTCCTCCCCCGTCTCCCGCGTACATCCCAGCCTCTGCCTCCCCCTTCAGCCCGGTCGGCCTCAGCTGTGCCTGCAACCTACTAATCTGCCGCTGCAGCTCCTCCGGCTGTCTCCTACTCCCCCCTTCTCTCTGGTAGCAATCCTTCGCCTCATGTCCCTGCCTCTTGCAGATTTCACACCTGGCTGCCTCCGGGCACTCCCGCTTCCTGTGCCCTGGCTTCCCACACCCTTCACAGTTCTGCAATCCCTGCGCAAATTTCCTGGCTATGTCCACACCTGTAGCATGTCCTAGTGTCCGTCCCTGTCTCCCCCCGTCCCTCCGTCCTCCCTCCTCCTCCTGGTATCATTGCCGCCGCCCACGTTGGCCGCCTGCTCCTCTCCGATGGCCTGGGGAGGTACGCCTCAAACTTGTTGGGTGCAAATTCACATTGCACAACATCCTGCCGTCTGTTTGTACGAGTATGCGTGTGCGAATGCATTTGGGTATGGATGGAATGTTCGTGTGTTTGTTTTATTTCGCAATTTTTGCTTGATGCATTTGCAGGTACTCGCGCAATGTGCGCTTCGGCACAACATTGTACGCGCTATAAACAGTGCAAGCAGAAAGGACGAGCTCGCAAAGGAACCCAAGATGGAAGCTTTGCGGTTCAACTTACTTGATTATGCAGATTCAGTTCTATCCAACTCGAAATTGCACTGTTTTGTTTGGTTGACTATAGTGTAGCAGGGCAGGCACTATAGGGGTACAATTTAGGTGAAGGTTGGATGTTGTTTGTCTGTATCTGCATGCTACAAGGCCAGGGGAAACCAGCGGAACCAGCATTTGGCTGGTTGGGCAAAGACAAAACAGGTTCTGTTTTTAGGACCTGAACCTGATTGTTGTTTTCCCAGGTTGGTAAAACAGAACCAGAGGTTGTTTACCAACTTACCACCTGCTGTTTTGTCCAGCCAGGTTGGTTCTGTTGCTTGGAATTATTTGGGATCATCCCTGGTTGTTCCCAGGTTTATTCCCAAGGTCCTTGCTAGCTAGAACTATTTATTCCTTCTCTGTTTGTACCTGGATATAGTCAATTTGATTCAAGCAAATTCCTCCCTTCCTGGAATTTTGTTTCTACACGGTACGATGGCGGAATGCTACTCGAGTCAACGCTAGTACGCTAGCACTCCAACGCTAGGCAAACGCTGTCCGAGCCATAACTCTGTAATGGCAGAACTTTTCGCGAGGCAACTTGGCTCTTTTTAAAGCTCTTGGAGCGAGCTTCGATATAGGAAATTCTCAGCTTAATCCGGTCAACAGTCTACATGATAAGCTGCGTGACGTTCAAGGTACTCTTGTTATTTTGGCTAAGTCATTCTTGACTCCTCTCTCTACAAACTCGGACCCGAGGATAGGGGCTGGTCTTGTACCAGGCACCCAAGGACCCTTGGAGGTGACCCCGAGGAGAGGATTTAAGTGTGTTAAAGTCTTAAAAGCTTGAGTTTATTAGGCCCTTACACCAACAAAACTTCCTTTGTGCGAGCTCCACCCTCTCTGCCAGAGCGAACACCTCCTCCAGACTTGCATCCGCTCCTAGCTCATACACTCTCATTTTTAGGCCCCCTCCTAAGGCCTCGTCCAAGCCCCCCAGGAACTTGCTGATGAGAAGACTGCTGTCCGTGCATCTCACGTCCTCCGCCAGATTGATCAGCCGGTTATAGTAGGTCAGTAATGACTCGGTTCGGCCCCTGTTGAATTCCTGGAACTCCCTTATGCGCTCTGCCGTGTGACCTGGGAATTGCCGCTGCAGCCGCTCCAAGAATGCCTTGGTGGGGTCCTCGCCGTACCTCCCTGCCCTCCACAGCAGCTCCTCCATCCTCATGCGGTAAAGCGTCTCGGCCTCCCCTTCTAGTGTGTTCGGCAAGCTCAAGAAGAAGTCCACTGGTCCATGTGGTGCCGGTCGCAGCGGTACCGCACATTCCCCACCTGCATGAGATAGTTCTTGAGGGTCGGCCCTGCACGTTGGTCGCCTGAGAATCTGGCGGGCACTTCTACTCGCAGGGTGCTGGTGCCACCCCCACGCCCCTCTCCCCATGATTCACTGGCCCCCTCCAGCCGACTCCTCTCCGTTTCCCTCCCCCGCGCCGTTTGCATGCCTTCTCTGGCTTCCCGCGCCCGCTCTGCCCCCTGCGCCAGTGTTCCGCCCTCCGTTCTGCCCTCCTGGCGACTTCCTCCTGACTCGTACCGCCTCTCCCTCGATCCTCCCCACCCTTCCGCCCGTCCCCACTGTGGTGTCGGCGGCCCACGCACCTCACGCCCCTCCCATCTGCTCGTCTCGCGCCGCGGCCGCCCTTCTGGCGACGGCGACCAGGCGCCCTCCCTCCTGCTGCGCTGCTGGCGGCGCTCCGGTGAGAGCCTCCCCCCTCCGTGTTCTTCCTTCCGCGCGTGGCGCCAGTCGGGCAAGCGGGACCCGCAGTCGTCCCGCTTCTCCCTCCGCCGCGCTGCTCCTGTGACCCATGCTCCGCCCTGTGACCCCCTTCCTGGCGCCCCTGGGACCTGGGTAAGCGTGGCTCACCCCTCCGTTCGTCACCGCGCGCCTGGCAACGTTCCGGCGAGCGCATGCCGCCGCCGCCCCAGCCACTCTGGTCCTGCCGCCGGTCATGCGGGCGGAACTCGCCCACGCGCCATTCTCCACGACGCTGACCCCTTTCCGGCGTGCGCGACCGCTCCGCCCTTCCCTCACCGCGTGGTCTGGAAGCATCTGCATAGCGAGCGCCCTTGTCCGGTGTCCCTTGGTCCTGCCGCCTGGAGCCCTCCGCGCGGTGTCCCTCCCCACGGCTGCTGTCTTGACCGCGCGGTCCCTGTAGCGTGGTCCCGAACTCTCTGCCCACCGCTCCTTCAGCATCGCGGTCTTGTTGCTGGCGGCGAGCAGGTTGTCGACGTAGACGAGCACCCAGCGTGCCACACCATTTTTAGCGACCTTGAAGTAGAACCTCGTCGACCTGGCTCTTGCTCCAGCTGGCACCGGTCAGGACGGCGTCGAGTGCCAAGTACCACAACATCTGCAATTGTTTCAGCATGTACAAGCTCTTCAGCAGCTTGCATTCCCGGCCAGTCCCGTCGTCGTAGTATTTGGGCTGGTAGATATAGAGCACACAGTCCAGCTTGTTCTGCAGAAAGGTGTCATGGTCGAGCTCGGGCATGTCGACGTCGGCCTGCGCGTCGTCGTTCAGCGTGGTGAAGGCAGCCGGGGGCAAGCAGGCGTGGTAGCTTAGCCGCTCTGGGGCCTTCCTAAGGCGGCCTGAACGCCACGGTCCTGGTTGGTCGACCCGGACCTCCACTACGTCGCTGTCGGTTGACTCCTCCCCCCGCCGACAGTTCGCCTTCATTGTCGCCGGCCTCACTGTCCTCGTCGGAATGCTGCACCAAAGTCGGCGTCGCTGCCGACTTCTCCCCGGTCGTCGGCTCCTTTGCCGACTTCTCCTTTGCCGGTGGCTCCCCTGATGGCTTTACTGCCTGCTGCTTCTCTTTCATCCCCTGAATTCAGCGGCTTGATGTGCTTCAAATCCTGCCGATCGCCGGCGATGACATTGGCCTGCGCCACATGCGACGCCCACCATTGTTCCCCTCATCGCCGGTGGCCGACGTCGGCGTCGGTTTCTGCAGGTCGGCAACGAGGGGTGGGACAGCGGGAACAGGGGGAGGAGTGGAAGGGTGGACGTCCTCGACGCCTTCTTCATTATGCTTGCCGAACTCGGGGAGCACTGGGAATGTCGCCGTGGAGGAGTCCGTCGGAGTATTTGCCAACGTCCGCCCCGATGTCGGCCCTTGCTCCGTTTTCCATACACAGAGCGACATAGATTTGTAGACGATCGTCTCCACCGTGGTGACAACCTTGTTGGCGGTGAGGTTGAGCACCTGAGGTGAAGGCCCCACCGGGCCTTCGGCGCCAACTTTCTGCCACGCTGCTGCCAACCCCATATGCGCGCCAGCGTGAGGTCAGGCTTCTTACTGGTCAGCAGCTCGTGGTAGGGCGAGGTGCCACTAGTGTGCTGCACACCCATGTGCAGCAGCATCGTCCGCACGGCCTCGATGACAGTGCACATCTCCCGCTCTACCATGTCGTTCTGCTACAAGGTGTACGGGCACGAAAGGTCATGGACAATGCCGCGATGTCCTTGACGAAGTTGGTGAAAGGCTTCCCGAGAAATTTATCGCCGCGGTCAGACCGCAGCACCAGCACCGACTTCTTCGTCTTCCGCTTCACAACTTTAAGCCACTTCTCAAACACCTGCAGCACGTCGCTCTACAAACGACCGGCTTCACCCACGCATACCGTGTTTTGCAGTGTCCACGCCGGCGTGCATGAGCCTCGCATGCGACATGTCCGGCATCGACTTTGTCGCTGAAACGGTCGTCTGCAAGGCCACCACCTCTGTCGACGCCGACGTCGACTTTGACAAGCAATGGCGAAGGTCGGGGTAGAGGACCCGGTCAGTGTAGCGCGCCCGATCAAACATGTCCCTCGCCGTCGAGACGAGCAGTGTGTCGTCGCCGCCGTCCTGCAGCTTAACGCCACTGTCATTCAGTAGGCCGGCTAATACCAGGTTCGCCAGCACGCCTGGGACGTAGAGCACGTCAAGGATGAGGACCTGTTTTCCGGCCTCCCCTTTCAATGCGACAGTCCCGCGGCCCTGGACAACTTGTAGTGCCCCAGTAAAGCCGCACATGCTTCAAGTCGCCGTTCGGCTCCATGTCGACAAAGGCCTCCTTCATCCCCATCAGGTGGTGCGAGCAGATGCTATCGAGCAGAACCACCGTCGGGTTTGCATGCATGGCGGCCGCGACCACCTTGAAGTCCTTGCCGGCCTCCGGCGCCAGCAAAATAGTCAGCTCAACCAAGCTGACCATCGAGCACGACACCTCACGGTCGCCTCGTCCCTTGTCGCCAACAAAGTCGGCATTCTTCGCCGACAAAGTCCGCTTCGACGCCGGCTTCTCCTTGTGCAGCTTGTTGTCTCGACGTTGACGACCGCTGTCTGACCGTCCGCGGTTTTCCTTGTGGTCGTCATCGTTGGAATTCTCGCGGTTGGGCCGAACGCCTTCGTGGACCACACCAGCTGTCTACCGACTCCTCCAAGTCGGCGTCACCAGGTTGGCGGCTTCTACTCGGCACCCCTCCTAGGTCGGCGAGGCCTTTTAGTTGACCACCAGGTTTAAGTTGGCCACCGGCTTCCCGAGGTTGGCGGCTCGGCAAGTAACCCCGTGCAGGTGGTGCAACACCCAAAATATCAGGGGGTGCAATTCTGCTCCAACCTTGGCAGAGCCATCTCTAAACCGCGGTGCGCTCCATTTTCTTCCCCGCACCGCCTTTGCCTTTTGGGTTGTCGTTGGACGAATCTGCGACCATGTTCGCCGCATTTCAGTTTGCTCCGCGCGTCGCCATCCTGACGGCGATTCTTGGGGGTCCATCTGTCAGGTTTTTTATAACATAAGAAACAGGTATGTCCCTCCTTCTCACAATACCAACAGCTCCCTTTCATTTTGCCACCAGTACCCGATGTGCCCCCACGTCCAGATCTCGCACCGCGACCTCAACTGGTACCTCCTTGTTGGTCATTGGAGTCATTGTTCTTCTTTGCACCGCAACCAGCGCCATGGAAGCCACGTCCTTTGCCAGGTTTGCCTCCTTGCATTCCGTAGCCGCCGCTGCCCTTGTCTCTACCCCTCAGTTGGCGGCAACGAAAGTCCTCCAGAATCTTCGTCCGCACCTACTTGAGCGTCCACAAGCTCTGGTTCTGCGGCTGGTTCAATCCGCTAGTGTATTGCAGCCACGACTTCGGCAGTAGTGATAGCATCTTTCGGCAGTTGGTCTGCTCTGGGCAGGTGATTCCCACTATCGCCAGCTTCGCGTAGAGATCAAGAATCTTGTCCAAAATAGGTTGCATCGGCTTTCTTTCGCTCAAGCGCAACCGGACAGCTCCCTCTCCATCGTGAGCATCGCGGAAACGGAGGTCGGGGCGTACAGCTCCTTCAACACGGTTCATGCTTTCGGACAGCACTCAACCTCCGACAACAGGTGCATGACGTGGTGACTCTAGTTCAGATCCAAACTCTGCGACAACAATTAGTAGTCTGCCGAGGCGCGCTAGTCCCAATCTTCCTGCAGTACGGGGTCACTTTGTCTAGGCTCCTTCCCAGTCATAAGTTTCAGCAATCCAATCTGGCAGAAATGGAGTTGCATTTTTCAGGCCCAATCATCATAGCCTTCATTATAAAAATTTCTTGACAGTCAAGTTTTTCAGCACCTCCTTGATCAGCGAGCCCCCTTGGCGCCGAAACACCTGAGTCTTGGTTGCCGCTATGATCTTGGGCTGAAGATTCACTAGCTCCCGCCGAATCCTTTCCTGCCATAGCTTCGTATAACGAGGATTGATAAAACGCAGCTCTGATACCAGCTTGTTGGTGTAAGGGCCTTATAAACTCAAGCTACTAAGACGCATTTCACACTTAAACCTCTCCTCGGGGTCACCTCCAAGGGTCCTTGGGTGCCTGGTACAAAACCAGCCCCTATCCTCGGGTCCGAGTTTGTAGAGAGACGGATAAGGCAAACGCAATCAAATAGCAAGATTACCTTGTACGTTGCGCAGCGTATCGTGCAGAACGTCGATCGGATAAAGCTGGTAATTCGCTATATTAAAGCCCTCCAAGAGCTTTAATATGAGCCATGTTGCCTCGCGAAAAGTTCTGCCATTGCAAAGTTATGGCTCAGACAGCATTGGCCTAGCGTCGTAGAGCTAGTGTACTAGCGTTGACTCAGGTAGCATTCCGCTAGCAAACCGCGTAGAAATGAAATTACAGCAAGAAGGAATTTGCTTGAATGAATCTGACTATACCCAGGGTACAAACAGAGAAGGAATAAATGTATGGAGCTAGCACGGACCTAGGGAATCAACCTGGGAACAACCAGGGATGATCCCAAATGATTCCAAGCAACAGAACCACCCTGGCTTGTCAAAACAGCAGGTGGTAGCTTGGTAAAGAACCTCAGGTTTAGGTTCTTAAAACAGATTCTACTTTATCCTTGTGCAACCAAACAAATGCTAGTTCCGCTAGTTTCCCCTAACCGTGTAGCATGCAGAAACATAAAAACAACATCCAACCTTCACCAAATTGTACCCCTAAAGTGCCTGCGCTGCTACACTATAGTACAATTACAAATTGGATAGAACTGAATCTGCGGAATCAATTTAACTGAACTGCAAAGCTTCCTTCTTGGGTTCCTTTGCAATCTCGTCCTTTCTGCTTGCACTGCTCATAGCGCGTACAATGTTGTGCCGAAGCGCACATCGCGTGAGTACCTGCCAATGCATCGAGCAAAAATGCGAAAGCAAACAAAAACATTCTAACACACCATTTACACGCAAATGCATTTGCATACGCATACTCGTACAAACAGACGGCAGGATGTCGTGCAAAGTAAATTTGCACCCAAAACTTCAAGATCACCACACTGTCCACATGCAATGATATAGCAGATATAAGAGATGAAAGAGTTGAAGACATGAATGACATGCATCTCTACAGAAGCAAGGGGCCACAAGGCCTATCCACAAGCACAGATATAGGATGTATAGTGAGATGCAATTATACAAGACAAAACATCTCTACGCAAGAAAGCGAGGGCCTCTAGACAGAAAACTAAGTTGGGTGCAGAAATGCTGCTGGTCACAAGGCGGCAATGCTTTGGTGAAGATATCTGCAGTGTTGGCCTTGAGACCACACGTCGCACGAGTGGCTGGCCACGCTGCTGCAACTCTTGCAGAAGGAAGTAACGAAGCTGGATGTGCTTCGCCTTTTGAACTAG